GGTGACCGGAGTAGGTGTGGTCAGTAAGGATGTGTCCTGGCACAGGTGTGGTCAGTGTGGAGGTGACCGGAGTAGGTGTGGTCTTTGCGGAGGTGACCTGGCGATGTCAAGGCAGTCTGAGCTGATCTCTGCGTGTTGCTGTGCTGTTTTTAAACAGTCCGGGAGGTGTGACAGAAGGTTTTCATTTGTAAAGTGGCGTTTCTGCCGCAGCGACCACCAACCCGGAACAGGAAAGACACAGCGCCACCTGCTGTGCGCACATATCTGGGAATATCTGCACAGTAGGCATGCGGTTTATTACTCATACTACACACTTCCAGAATCTAAATGGTAAAATAGCCTTATATCTAGAGAAATTAACATTTCTCCCCTTCCAAAATTAATTGGCAGCGTTTCGGAAGAAAAGCATCTCGAAATGTACTAGGTACATAAACTAGTAAAACGGTTGTCCGTTATTGCTGAATGACCCTTTTTCAGCTCCCATACTATATAACTTTCCTATTTTTGGCTTATTTTAACAGTTGCAGTCAACACAGACAATGCAAATTGTACTACTGAATTGTTTGTTTTATCGGAGAAACACAAGCTCTTTGTTTCATGTGTCGTACACGTGCTGTATGACATTCGCTATAGCACACCAAATAACTACACCCAAGCCATTGGCCTTTCCCTGAGGGCACCCTTCATATTCCTGAATGTTAAACCGATGCCGTATTTATTTTTACTTTGATTTATTTATTTGTGGGTTTCCCCGTTATTAATGGGCAGAGCCCGCCAATTCCGCGTTTTCAGGCAAACTTTCAGCAGATTTTGTCCGTCAAACCCGAAGTCCCTTGAAGCAAGGAAGAGCTCTCTCACCCCGGTGATCTCTCCGTTGCCCATAGCAACGGGATCCGGTATTCTGGTGCAGTCTGGAGTTGTTCCCTCTGGGCCGCTGAACTTCTCCTTTTCAAATATTGATTTGAACAGCGCGAACAGGTAGCTCCGTACAGTACGTGACTTTGGAGACAAACTCTGTATATCAGTGAGTGAAATAAGAATAAATTGTCATTACTGGACTAGCAGGAATGCTGGGTGGCTCCGACTACTCCTGTAAATAATAGAGTTTTGTACAGTTCCTCCTAGGCCTCGGTGTCACCGTTTCCTTATTTTTCTCCCCTCTGCGTTATCGAAGTTTGTTCTTTTTATTCTTTGTAATGGGGCCGCGGATTATTACACCGGCAGAGGGCGCCCAAGTTAAGGCGAGCCTGCACCAGAAATGTCTTCGCGGCCAGCAGGTCCCCGAGATCGGTGTACGCAAACGCTTTATGAATCGCAGACAGAAAACTTCACACCTTCAGCCCGTGCCGTCTTACTCGAAGAGCACACTTCTCGCACTGTTAGTTTGGACGTGTAAACACTATTATGATTTATAACACACTTTTTTTTACCAAATGACTTTATGCATATACATGAGTTTATCAAGGAGCACACCATTTCCCATGTAGAGAAAGGAGCTACTCTGTGCCTGCCTGGTGAGGGGACAAATGCCACCCTTACGCCCCAAGAGAATGGCTCCCTGCGTCTTCAGCGGGGTCATTACATAACGCTGAACCCAGCAGATTCGTGAGAGCATAACATAACCCTGACAGCTTTAAACCTGGGGAGGGCAAACAGCTCATCGCGTTGTTTCTCGAACGAAGCCAGGATGTGGCTGGATAGCTTGTCGCACTCTCCCACAACCCTTTGTGTAAAGAAGCGCCTCCTGTTCTCAGTTTTAAATGCGCTGAGTAGTTTTTTTCCCCAAGCTCAGGAATACGCCTGGTTGCTCTTCTCCAGACTGATGCCAGAGCAGACAATGCGCTAACCAAATTGCATTCTAAATGAGGCCTTACTAGTGCATCATCCATCCATCTTCTTATCTGCTTTGTCCAATTCATGGTCGCCATCATCCATCGTCCAGGACCATTACCTATCCTGGCAAGCAACAGGCACACTTTCCCCAGAATCCAGTTAACCCCCCAGCATGTCTCTGGGCGGTGGAAGGAAACCGAAGCACATGGACGAAACCCATGCCAGCACAGCACAGCATGCAGACTCCACACAGACAGCACCCCGAGAACTGAAGCCAGGGCTCCAGCGCTGTGAGGCAGGGATGCTGACCACTGTGCCATCACCATGCTCCCCCAACGCCTCCTTCGTCCCAAATGCCACCAGGATCTTCTCCAGGAGAGAGCTGGAGTCGGAGTAATCCCAGGTCATGACGGAGAAGGAAGACCGGTCACTCATGAATAGTCACCCGGAGGAAAGCCACCTGAACACAGGGAGAGCTTGCAAACTCCACGCAGATCATTTTAGCCTAAGATCCCTGTATTTAATGAAATCCTTTATTTTGATTATCTTGGTTGATACCTAGACACAGAAATAATACACCTGATCTCATCACCTTGCCCGATGAAGGCAATCATGCCTGTTGCATCCAGAAGGTGCACGGCACTTATACTGTTTTTTTTGTTGTGCATGCAGTAAGAGAGATAAAGATGTAGAAAACAGAGACGGAGAGATGGAGAGAGAGGAGTTCCTGGCCATCCTGGAGCCTGGTACTCTGAAGGGCTAACTGCAGAAAGAAGTTTTCTTCTCTTGCTCATCTGAGTAATTAGCAACAGCTGCCAGATCAATAAATTGCCTCTTTCTGTCTCTCGGAAGAAAGGCCCATCAATTTTCGTCAAACCTCTCGATGATCGATGGCTTCAATTAAACTGGATTGTGGTGCGTGGGAGGAAGGACAGATGCCTGGCTGGCACAGATACACAGTGCCCCCCCCTATCCTCTCTCAGTGGGCATTCTTACTGGGGCCCCCAAGGGCCTATAAATCCTTTTTCCCCATGCAGCGTTTTTTCATAACCAGAGAGATTTTTGTTAATCTTGCAAGCAGTTTTTTCAATATGCAACCAATATGTGTCTCTGAGTCACTAGTTCTGGGGCAGGCGTGGCTCTCAGGACAGGCCCTGTGAAAACCTCCATGACCTTGCGTTTTTATGGCCAGAGGCACCAGAGTCCTGGGTTCGATGTGGCATCTGGATGTCACGGTGATGGACTAGCGACTGAGGCCTACGTCTATCAAGCACTTCCTGTAAATTGACATACAGACACAGACACAAGGAGGCTGTTTGGCCCATTTAAGTAATTTGGTCGTTAATCATTAGCGTCCTGTTTC